AAAAAAAAAAAAAAAAGCCTGGGAGGTAGACTACAGACATTTATCCTCATAGCTGGAGATTTTCCCAGGCAAGCCCTCCAGCCAGACAGCACTATAGGGCTGCTGCCTGGGCCACCCCACCCTTACAGGAGCCCATTAACTGACAACCACTACAGAGAGCCCCAGGAGGGTTACTGTCCTGTGAGAATGCTTCTGCCCCCCACTCCCCTGATGCTGCCAGTCAGCTGACTAGCAGGGGAGGGGGCATTCTTCCATGGTGGGGTCTCTCCCAATTCTCCACTGCAGGAGAAAAGCCCTTGCTCCTTACAGTCATCCCTCCCAGCTAACCTGAAGGAATGCAGGGAGGGGGAGAGCACTCAGTTGCTCAGAGCCTTTAGGCAGAAGCATGGCAGCTTGCCTCACCCTGTACCACTCTGGACTGACCCAGAGCAGTGTGAGGCAAGGAGGGGGAATTTTGCTGCAATGACAAGGCTCCTAAGCCTTGCCACTGAGGCACAGCAGCCTGCCTCACCCTGCCACTCAGCTGACCTAGAGCTATGCAAGGGCAAGCTGGAGAGGCCAGGAACCAAGAGCTGGGCTAGGGAGAGCCTCTATGGCTGCTTGCAGATGTTAAAAAAACCCAAACAAATGAAAAACCCAGCTCTTTACTTTAAGCTTTATGCACTCCCACAGAGCCCAGCACATCCTCAGAAGAAGCACTGTGTTAGGTGGACCCAGCTTACCCAACATCTGTATAGATCAGGCACTTTAGTGGGGCTTTTTGGCACTTTTATCAAATAGCTGATTGAATCAGCTATTTGATAAAAGTGCCAAAAGCCCTGCTGAAGCACCCGATCTATACAGATGCTGCAGAGCCAGGCTGAAGTAACATGCTGCTGCTTCTGGTAAAGCTCCCAGAGACCCTGAACAGCAGGGACAGCAATGTAAAAGTCAGAGGGGTGAGGAGCCAGGAACACAGGGGCTCTCAGGGTGCTAGAGCTCCCGGTTCCCCCACTGAGGAGTGGGATGGCAATTTAAAAGTCAGCAGCTGAAAGTGGGGTCCTCTGGTTGTGTCTGGTGTTTCTTCTCTCTCCTGGAGCAGGTATTTTTGCTCCAGGAGAAAGCCTGAAAGTCTATGCACTTCTGCTTTCTGCTGAAAGAACAGCAATTCTCCTTGTTAAAACTGAACACCTGTGCCAGTGTGTACTAAATTTCAGTATATATAGTTGTTTGAAGGCATAGCCAATGCATGGTGTAACAAGTAAATAAAAAAAAAATATAATTTCCTGCAAAAAGCCACAGGTGAGAAACTAGAGAGCCACTTGAGCAATGAGTCAGACTATGACTCTTAAGCCACAACTAGCTGGGTAATAATCTACCTTAAAAGATAAAAAGAAAAAAAAAAAGTTAACAGTATTAGTTAAAATGTTTTGTAAAATGATGCATATTTCCAGTGTAGGCAAGACTGAAATTTATCGGTAGATAGATAATTTGGTAGAGTATTCAGCTTTGAAAGACAGGTTTTAATTTGATATACAACTCCTGTGGGTTTTACTCTCCCCATATCTTTAAGTTATATTTGTGTAATTTAAATTGGTAACACACACACAAAAATCCAAAGTAAAATTCACACTATTTTAATGTTGGTCTTACCCTCCAAGGTATGAGTGTTGAGATCACAGTTATCTGGGACAGGAAGGCTAAGAAAGTAAGTGCCTTCCATCATCTAGCACAAGTTAAATGGATGACACCCATGAACAACTTGGGTGCAAATCAGAATTATTTGGTTATGACGCCAGCCTGTTTCCAAAGAAGGATGGTACAAATTCAGTATGTTAACTTCAATACAGTAAGGTGGATCTGACTGAAATCAAATTGATTTTAATCATGA